AAAACCACTACAGGAAATTTTTTCCATAAAAATCCCTACTTCTCAATAAAGGAATTCCTGGAAGGTAGTTTGGATGAGCTGAAGTAGAACATAGCGACCGCCATGAGTACTAAAATTATGTTTTTTTTTACATATTTTAAACTTGTGAGTCATATATACAGGGTGAGTTTTAATTGTCCCCCCCCAACTTTTTTCTACATTTTTTCAAATATCAATTCCAGACCACTTCCAAACATTGTTGGGTAGTAAGTACTTCATTTTGACAAGGTGGTCATTTCCGGCCGCCATCTTGGATCCGCCATATTGGATGCAAATTTTTTTTTTCAAATGTAAAGGTGGGGTTGTGACCCATTATTTCGAACCAGATTTTTACCCTGATTACAATGCCGCAAACTGTTTTTAAAAATCTTGATTCATTCTAAAGTTATGAGGGCTTTTTAAAACTTTATTTTTAGCCCATTTTAAAATTTTGCATTTACAAACTAAGACCATAATCTCAAAATAGTGCTAGATAAAGATAAGTATACACTACCAGTAATTGTTGACCTATTTTCACTTGGTTATGACTGATGTAGTTTTTTCGGCCGCTATCTTGGATCCGCCATTTTGAAATGTGATAAATTATTTTAAATATGAAGGGGGTGTTGTGAACCATCATTTCGAACTACTTTTTTAAGCTGAACTTAATTCCATGATCCGTTTTTCATTTTCATTTTTTGATTTTTAAATATTGACATTTTTTACAAAAAAATTGCAATATTTCATAAGAAAATAAAGGCCAAGAAAATGGTAATAAGGTAATAATAAGGTAATTTAATTGAGCCTAGCCTATTTGTCTATTTAAAAAGGATGCAAGCAGTTTATTTTTGTTTGAACAATATTGGTTCAGTTGAGAATATGTGTATACTGGCACTATTTAGTTGAAAATGTGCATTACTGGCACTGTTTAGTTGAACATGTGCGTACTGGCACTCGCACTGTTAACATTAATGTTTGTTTTCACACTGGAAACTACACAGTTCATAAGATAGGCTATTGACTTCAATTAGTTCATGCAGCATGCAATAGGGGCACATTCACAAATTGGGATGTAGGCTATTGAATTGCAAACATTTTTATGTTGAAGATTAGACTATAGGTCTTTTTGAAGGTATTGCTTGAATGTTCTGAAACACTTTTAAACACAAGTTGAAACAAGATCTGGCTGTTGAAGGACCAATTTATAATGTCATGAAATTTTGATAATTGTTTATAGAATGATAATGCATCAAATAGATTGGTAAAATAGTTTAAAATTTTTGAATAAGTGGACTGTATCTTGTATAGGAGAATTTTGGTTTAATTACATTGAAAGATTCACTTACTGTTCTTGGTAAAATAAATCTTCTTAAATAAATAACTTATCTTCTTGAAGTTGAATAAAACTGACTTTAATAATAATTTTCTTGAATTTAGTTTTTGATACCAGAGTGAAAATTTAAAAACGTACGTTTTCATGTCCCTGGCCTTTTACTTCGTAGATACTGGATTTGTAGTTTATTATTATGTGTTTTAATATTTTTTGGGACGGGGGCAACATGTTACACACATTTATTTGGTTTTAAATAGGTTCTAGGTATTTTTTTCGTATTTTTAAAGTCTCGAAATTCACGACCATGACTTGTCCCTATGGTACATTTTCCAACTTTCACGCTGTTTTTAGACTAATTATTCATGCCAAAATATATAAAGCCATATTTTTATGTCATCAATGGTTATTAAACTTACAAAAAAGGAGCATGTTATAATTTTATTGTTATTGCAGACTGACTACCATGACAAAAAAAGTCTGTCCCTCGATTTGGCGTCACGACCATTTGGGACAAATTTTCAACTTTGGAGCACGACAGTGGCAAGCCGTTTGAGTTGAAACGAGGAATTACAAGATTAATAAAGGAAAGATTGTGTTTTTTGTAATTTTGGTGTGTCCATGACCGTACGTAGTCATTCGATGAAGTAGACATGGTGTTAATTTTTGTTTTTAAGATATTTCAATTGCTAGATTAACCTAGAAGTCCACTTTGTATCCTCGAACATGAGGTGCAGGGCTACCGCCAGAACAGAGCCAAATAACACGTAATTTCACGACCAAAGTTTCACGACCATCGCGGTTTTTTTCACGACCAATCCAGCCTTATGGATTATAGTGTGTTTGGTCGTGACAATAACTTTAATATAATTGTAAATTGAACAGTTTAGTTCAATTGAAACACATAGTTTTATTATAACTAACAGTATAATTGAAGGATTGTTTAGAAAGATTTAGATTATTCCAGACAATTCACGACCGTACCGCTTGTCCCTGACCATCACGTTTATGATTTCTATCATAAAAATTTCAAAAATTAAATTATCGTCATATTTCAATGTTTTATACACAAAAGAAGCACACCTCTATACAAACATAACGATTTTTCGGGTCTCAGGTATGTTTTTTTGGAGTTATACAAACTTAAAAAGATTTTATTGGCTTTTTTCTATTTTTTAAGTTTTTTTTTTATTTTTTTCTAGAAAGACCAAATATACCAAAAGCTCAGTGACCTTTTTATTGTATAATGGTCATAAAAGTAAATTAGTTTATAGCAAAACATAGTTATAAAAATAATATTAACTATTTTTAATATTCATTTAAACGTCCGTTATGGTCGTGACAGGATTTTGTGTTTTACTACTAAAGATGCTCTTTAAAAAGAAAACTACCAAAGATAATGCGTTACCATGGACATTTTATTAAACTTCAAATGTTAATGAAATAAAAAAATAATAAAAATTTTGAAAAAAGGGGAAAAAAATTTCAAAGAGCTTTTCCTGAAAACGTACGTTTTTAAATTTTCACTCACCAACACTTTTTCATGCATCTTCATTCAGGTCATTCTGTCTTCTCTGTTAATCTTAATCACAGTCACATGTTTTGTTTTTAATATTTTATTGTTGTACATTTAATTTTGAGTAGTTAAACTGCTTGCATTTACAGTGTTGCCAATTTTAATAATGAAATATTCTTTTAGATTCAATGTGATATAATATAATAACATATGATAATTAGTAATATTGAAATGAATTGTAATTTAAACTAATAATAATAAATTGTAAACCTAAACATTGGTTAATGAATTTTGATTGACTTATTTGGAATAATTTAAATATGAATGAAATAAAGAAAACTAATAAATACTTAACAGATACGCCTTTAACATTATTAGTGTTGGAAAAAACTATTGGCCAGGTGGTGCTTTGTTTTCAGCTTTAAAAATTGCTGCGACACCTACAGAGGTAGCACCATTGTACCGAGGGAAGACACTTCTTCTGTCTCTTATTATGTACATAAGAATCTCACTTGACTCATCGGTGCTCTCGTCCCTAAATAATGTCTGCCACAGTCTTCAAAGATTTGCATATGGGTTTGGCATTATGACCCTATTTTCCGCGTATTTTTTCATTGAATTTTTTGTTTGAATTGTGCTTAATTCTCCTTTGGGTTCTAGTGACATTGTCGTACTTACTTTATATATCTGTGCGTATTCAAGATGATCATCTTCTTGAGGAATTAGAGGACCCACTTGGTGGTAAAACATGTCACCGATCTTAAAATTGTAGATCCCCTATGGAACTTTCTCATCTTAATGAGCTTCAAAGCTGAGCATGGTAAAGGCAGAATTGAATTGAAGAACTTTGTACAAATAATTTCTGGATATAAGTCTCACAGTCCTATTTTCAGATTGGGCGTTTCCAATAAGAATCTGAAGATACCTTCAGGTGAATTGCATAAATGAGGTAATCGAACCTTTCATTTATGGAAACAAAGAGTAAAAACTTAACTGTCTCGGGCAGCATTTTCTTGCTTAAAAATAAGTAAGCCACTACAATGTAAACATTTAACGTACATTTGTCCGAGATTGGACTATCACAACGGTGGTACTACCACTCTGTACCCGTCAAATGTTTAATTGAGCGGTTGATGCAAGCGGTCATGTTCGCGTTCCCTCCAGCCACTCACAGTTCTTCGTCGTACTGGCGGCATTTGATTTTAAATTGAAATGAAATAAGAAAGTTAACCAAACAACAGAAAACACTATAAAGGAATTGGAATTTAGATACACATTGTAAATTACATGATAATATGGTAATATAACGGATAACTGCCCTGTGAATAATCACTTTTAAACATTCACTTCATCACATCGAACTGTAACTACATGATAATCAGTAAAATTTGTTGTAAGGTAAATCAATTTAACCATAGACAAAAAGAATTAAATATTTATTAAATATTTATTCTTAAACACTTTGTTGTCTAGTATTGATAGGAAACTCTTCATTATGAACCAGACTTGGTTAACAGATTGAAGCAAAATATAAATTCCAGCTTTGCTCTGGAAGTTTTAAGTCCTGCAGTCTGTGGTTAACCTTAAAAACTATTTCAAACTACATCCATATGTTATTTGTAAACAAAGGGAAATGAGTTTGATCAAATGTCAACAGATAGCTCCGCCTTCCAAACTTTAGACCTTAAGTGTACTTAAGTGATGCCCTTTCTTAATATTCTGAGACGTATTTGCACATCTACATGAAAATACCTTTAATTTGACACCTCAAACGTTAAAATCCGTCAAGCCGTTATCGAGTTATGACTGTGAAAAGAAACCTGCTTGCGTATTAATATATAGATTGTAATTTCACTAAGGTATGCAATGGTGTCATACATTCAAGACTGATTATTATAATTTTTTTAAGATGTTTACAGTTGATGAACTTGTGGGGTGTGTAGAATCTCTTCTGCAAACGCGTCTTTTATCTGTTACTGTTCTAAGATAACTTGGAAGTCAGTTGAAAAGCTTGCTTTCAACGTACAACGTAGCTAGGTTTCTCTTGGCTTGTGCAAGAATTATGAGTGGTGCACATGTCTTATGTTGCACGATTGAGTAACAACAGAAACAAAATAATAATTTCATTGTTGCCAGGTCGGTAAGATGTCTGGGAAGGCAGGCAAGCAGATGGAGTCGGTTCCACCACCTCCAGCACGGTTCACCCTCACAGAGTGGTACCTCAACAACAGACAACGCAACAGACAAGCCGAGGACCAGCAGCACTTGGCTGACAGAATACTGGCAGAGTGTGACAGGGTCAGTGTGGCATCAGTCAAGTCACCTCTCCTCTTATGCCAAATAGGTTGAATTAAATTGGAACTAACAAAACTTGTTACCAGTTACCTTTAATTGCAGTTTTATAATTCCAACTTAAAAATAGGTTCAGCACCCTCTTGTTCAAGAAAATGCTCTTACGAGAATGTTGTGTATGCTGGTTCTTCATAAGATCAGGACGTCACCTCAGGGATTGTTCCAATGGAAGGCAGCCATTTGCAATGACCAACTCTAGTTTCTTGAAGATTGTATTAAGAGTCGGCAGGAGTAAATAGTTTTGCATTGTTGTTGACCGTCATATGCCAGGCTAAACAGTGGTTGTCCTAGCGCCAATCACCAAAAACATGTGTTGACGTTGAAGCTTATTAATCATGCACCGTAAGCTTGATTACCGAGCAGAAAATTGTATGTGATTCTTAAATATATTTTCCGTGTGATTTGATTTTCGGATTTTAAAACTTTTGTTTTAGAGGTAGAAAAAAATATCAGTTTAAGTCAATATATTAATGTTGTATGACAAAATAATAACAATTAAAATTGAAAAGTAGATAGCAAATCACATCCACAGTTTCAATAGCTTTAAAATAAGACATTTTGCAGCTTGTTATCTTAATAAACAATGCCGTAATATGCTTAAACCATTAACATTGCTGTTATGGGCAGAAAATCCAAGATGGCCGGCGGTACTGCCAACTCTTAAGCACGAATGAGATTGAATTTTTTTTTATTACAATTAAACATATTACATATTACACATTACAATTAAACAAAATAATGAACGGAATTAAATGTACTTTAGACCTTTTTATTTCAAGTAATAAACAAGCAATGCTTTTTTGAATGTCCTCCCTTAAAAACCAAAATCACAAAATGTTATACAATTGTCTTTCAACACACATGTACCTGTACAATCTATACTATTTAACATTACAAGTAGAACAAAGGAATTCCTACTCTTTTTTTTAAATCTTGATGAATTTATTAACATTTTGTGACAGCTTTAAGACGTGTAGTGTGCAATCTACAGTACTATCTAAGAAAGTATAGCAACTGAATAACAACTACGGTATTGTAAATGCCCGGGCATTTATTTTTGGAGTTTCATGATGGTTGGCCACTGGATCGTTAAAATTAGCACTAATAAGGTTTAAATTACCTGGCTACTGTCTCCGATCCTCGGTATAGTTTTAAGAAACTACAGCTGTTTCATGCCTTACATTGGCACATCATCAGGTTTGGTGAACGCCAGCTTTTCTATAAAATATCCCTCGGAGATGAGATCGTTATGGTTTTACGAAAAACATGTAGACATTTACACACACGAAAACACGCACGAAACATTTAAACACTAATAATTGAGAAACTACTGCGAAACGTGATGCGGCGCCGGTGATGGATAAGTCGCGACTGTCACGTGTCGGCAGCGTTGACCCCTACCCCTGTTCTATCCTTATCTTCTCTTTCTTTGGTTTGACAATCAGATATCAGAATGGCCGTGTTGTAAATTATGTTAGACTCAAAGGACTGCTTTTCGTTCAAAATATGATGTGGTTGTTCTTTTGATGCCTTGTATATTTCGTATTCTTCTATTGTGTCCATATGGCGTCCTTTATTGCAAAAATTTAAAATATCTAGATTATTATGAATGTCTGTGTAGTTATGGTTCGTGGTTGTTAGGTGGTTGGAAAAAGCTGATTTAGAGTTCTTTTTTGGTAGGTGTTCTTTAAATTGGGTTGTGAAAGATATGACAGTTTGTCCTATGTAAAAGCTGGGACAGTTGTCACATTTAAATCTATAGATTCCGGTTTTGTTGTTGTTATCTGTGTGGGACTTGCTCTTGGCTCTGACCAATGACGACAGCTTGTTTGTAGTCTTGAACGATATTGCTATATCATTTTTTGCCAGTTCTTTTCGTAAAGTATCATTTAGAACTATACCGAATTCAGCACTAGCGTATTTTTTATTATTTTCATTGGAGGTTACTTCAGTTCGGTTATGGTGTTTTCTGATCAATTTGTCTATGAGGTTGCTACTGTATCCGTTTGACACTGCAATATGCTTTAGTATCTTAACTTCGTTATTGTAGTTGGTTGGGCTGAGTGGTATGGTAAGTAGACGATGGACAAAACTATTATAGGCGGATAATTTGTGGCTATAAGGGTGGTGTGATGATGAATGGATAGTTTGGTCAGTTGTAGTCGGCTTCCTGTAGATATTGAATTCTAAGCTCCTGTCTTTTCTTGTTATAGTGAGATCCAGGAAATTAATAGATTTAGATACTTCCGTTTCAAGAGTAAATTTCATGTTTTTGTGTACACTGTTGAGATATGTTTTGAGTACGTTGATTTGTCTATTGTTACCGTTGAACAATACAAGCGTGTCGTCCACGTATCGTCTGTAAAAAACTATTTTGCTACGTTGGCGGTTCGAGTCTGACCAAAAGTGTTGATTTTCTAAGTTATTCAGAAATAATTCTGAGAGAATACTTGATAACGGCGACCCCATCGTTAACCCTTCATTTTGTTTATAATATTCGTCCTCAAATGTGAAGTAGTTCTGTTTTAGGACACAGCGCACTAAATTTATCAGTTCATTCTTTGCTTCTGTAGCTAAGGTGTAGTGCTTGTCTAAGTATTTTCTGAGTAAAGTTATTGTTTCATTTATAGGAACGTTCGTGAACAAACTAACAATATCAAAAGATGCAAGTATATATGAGTCTTTCATTTCTATGTTAGATATCTGGTTTACTAAGTCTACTGTGTTTTTTATGCTATGGCTATTTTCTAAAATAATCTCTCTTCTGATAATACTGTCTAACTTTTTGGCGATTTTATAGGTAGGTGAGGGGGTGAAATTTACCAATGGTCTTATAGGTATATTGTCCTTGTGTATTTTGGGTAAACCTCTAAGGACTGGGGCACTAGGGTTAGTGACTTTCAGGTGCCTGATTTCTTCAACAGTTAAAAGGTTCTTACATGATGATATAAATTTATTGATCTCTTTCGAGAAAGCAGGTGTGGGGTCCTTGGTTAAAGTAACAATAGAGTTAGTTTCAATAAAGTCTCTTACTTTGTTTACATATTCTGACTTGTTGAGGATGACGGTACAGTTCCCCTTATCTGCTTTCATGATAACGGCTTCGTTTTGTTGTAACTTGCATCGGATGCTAGTGGCTATTGATTTCAACGACTTATATTTCGAAATATATTTAATTCTAGGGGTGGGATTTCTTAATGTTTTCTGTATTTTGTTCGATACTATTGCTCTGGTGGTATCTCTTGCAAGGCTGGGTTTCAGGCATTTAACGGCTGTCTCGGCATTCAGTAATTCGGACACAAGACTATTTTTTCTATCATTAGGGAAATTGAAATTTAGTCCTTTATTTAGTAACAAAATCTCCTGCTCTGTAAACTCTATGTTAGTTGTATTTATCAGTCGGGGATGAAATTTGTGGTTGTGAACTATTTCTTCTATTTTATTTTGGGATTTCAGTTAGGCATCAAACTTTTTGGTTTGGGTTTGTTTTTTATTTTGGACTTTCTTTTGAACCATTGTGTTTAATTGAGAAAAAACATTGTTCTGTTGTGAAGGGTGAAGGCAACTCATAAGTTCGAGATGTTTTCTTAACAGTAGCTTATTTAACATGTTCTTTTTTGCATATAATGTTTTATTTCATTTTTAATCCAAGATTTCTCAGCAGTTTGTTTGGCCTTTCTGGCTGCTATTGAACGGTTAGAAATTTTTATGGATACATATTTAGTTACAATATTGAATTCTAGACATTTTTTATTGAAATTTATGTTCTCTATGGTGTTGAACAGTTTAAGCTTGGCGTTCTTGTATGCGTAGGCCAGTTTAACTTGACAAGTTTCCAATTTCATGATGGTTGGCCACTGGATCGTTAAAATTAGCACTAATAAGGTTTAAATTACCTGGCTACTGTCTCCGATCCTCGGTATAATTTTAAGAAACTACAGCTGTTTCATGCCTTACATTGGCACATCATCAGGTTTGGTGAACGCCAGCTTTTCTATAAAATATCCCTGTGACAACTGTCCCAGCTTTTACATAGGACAAACTGCCATATCTTTCACAACCCGATTTAAAGAACACCTACCAAAAAAGAACTCTAAATCAGCTTTTTCCAACCACCTAACAACCACGAACCATAACTACACAGACATTCATAATAATCTAGATATTTTAAATTTTTGCAATAAAGGACGCCATATGGACACAATAGAAGAATCTATACTTATTTAATACGCAAGCAGGTTTTTTGTGACAATTACTCCACCAAAACTACTGAACCTATTGACATGTTTTTGGTGTCATTGGAAAGAGCGTAACGTGAAGTTTTGCAGGAAACTTTCTATTTAGGTAAACAATTAGAGATTGAGGCCCTGGGGCCCTTAAAGTTTTGTATATCTCCATAAGATTAACATGGGAAACAAACATTATTTTGAAACTCCAGCTGTTGTCAGAAATTAAATATTAATAATTGGTCTCCATGGAAGCATGAGAAAATTCACAATGTTTACATTTGCTTTTACATTTAAATGTAAACAACCAGAACTGTCAAATGCCTATTTCACAATTTCAGACAGCTGATCCAAAAAAATAAAACAACTATGTGGTAGGTTTATTTCATCTTAAACTTTATGATAGATTATTTATTATAAATCTATTTCAATGATTATGAAACAGGGGTTTCCCGTTGATGTTCTACACCTTATTGTCTACAAATTGGCTAAATAACTTAGGTATGGTACTTTATAAAAGCTGACAGCCTTTTTACGTTGACATAAATTGTAAGCTTACCTTTTCCCGTCCATGGGCAGTCAGTTTGATTGTTATAAATAAACTCTTTAAACTGGAATAGGACTGTTATGTAAATTGTAAGTATTTCCATTAGTTAATAATCTTTTAGTTGACTCTTTTAAAATCATCGGAAATTGTGACTGTTATTAGTTTTTAAACAAGTTATTAGTTTATAAATAACTCCTGTACTTCTTTCCAATTGCTCGATTTCGAGCAACATGTACACTAGTACGAAATATATAAGGCATCAAAAGAACAACCACATCATATTTTGAACGAAAAGCAGTCCTTTGAGTCTAACATAATTTACAACACGGCCATTCTGATATCTGATTGTCAAACCAAAGAAAGAGAAGATAAGGATAGAACAGGGGTAGGGGTCAACGCTGCCGACACGTGACAGTCGCGACTTATCCATCACCGGCGCCGCATCACGTTTCGCAGTAGTTTCTCAATTATTAGTGTTTAAATGTTTCGTGCGTGTTTTCGTGTGTGTAAATGTCTACATGTTTTTCGTAAAACCATAACGATCTCATCTCCGAGGGATATTTTATAGAAAAGCTGGCGTTCACCAAACCTGATGATGTGCCAATGTAAGGCATGAAACAGCTGTAGTTTCTTAAAACTATACCGAGGATCGGAGACAGTAGCCAGGTAATTTAAACCTTATTAGTGCTATTTTTGGAGGTAATTGTTCCCTTTTAGCGAATTTCCCTATAGGGAAGTAGCTATTTCCGTAGGTCTCATGGTAAGACCTAGGCCCGGGACCGATTTACTTTTTCATTTTCATGTCCCCAGAGTCCAAAAACACCATTTGTTCAAAGTTACAAACAAGGTTTATCCGATTGTTGGTAGATCAACTTGTGAATCTCACAATGTGATTTATCAACTATCGTGTAAACATTGTCCAAAAGATTACATTGGCCAGACTTCAAACTCTTTAAGAGTTCGAATGACAGGCCATCGTTTTGATGTGGTACATGAAGACAAAAGAAAACCAATCTATAATCATGCCGCTCACCACAACCAAAATTTTGAAGGCTGCTATACCCTTAAAGCCCTTCACAAAGTAAACCCACATCAAAACCCTAAATGCAACCAACTAATCTTAAGAAATTCTGAATTGGCTCACCAGTTGGTACTGAAAAAAGTTCCCCTCTGGTTTAAACTTAAGATAGTAAAAAAGTGATTCAACTCAGCTGAATTTTAATTTTAATTTTCTTTTAGGCTGATTTTATTATTTTCTTTGATCTGTACTCAATCATATGTTCTCAAAATTCAACTATTTGTAAACAGTTCATATTTATTTGTTTTGTTCATCTTTACATTTTTCATTCTCTTTGCTTGAAAACGTTTGTATTAAACGAAAATTTGCAATGTTTCATGTTTCATTCATCATAAACTCTATCAATATCTCCTCAAGAATATATATAGATATATATATACATATGTGTCCATCCGCACGATAACTTGAGTAATTTTTGTCCGATTTTGATGAAATTTGGTTTGAAGGTTTAAGGCGGGATAAACTTAATTAAGTTCGCGAACCAGCATGATCGGACCATGGGAACAGGGTTCAACGGGGGGTTTTATGGGGTAAAAATGGGTTTTTCTTATTTTTTACCCTTAAAACACAAAATTTATCAATTTTTCTCCAGACCTTTTTAAAGAGCTTAAAAAAAAACAAATAATTTAGTATATCAAAGTGTTTTTGTGTGTGTAGCAACTGTATAACAACTACGGTATTGTAAATGCCCGGGCATTTATTTTTGGAGGTAATTGTTCCCTTTTAGCGAATTTCCCTATAGGGAAGTAGCTATTTCCGTAGGTCTCATGGTAAGACCTAGGCCCGGGACCGATTTACTTTTTCATTTTCATGTCCCCAGAGGCCAAAAACACCATTTGTTCAAATTTGTATATATCTATATATAGATTAAAACAATTCTAAACACGGCTGTGAACCATGTCACAAGCCCCGATGTGGTATTTGCAAAATCATGAGTAATACAACTGAATTTGATAGTAAAGTTACAAACAAGGTTTATCCGATTGTTGGTAGATCAACTTGTGAATCTCACAATGTGATTTATCAACTATCGTGTAAACATTGTCCAAAAGATTACATTGGCCAGACTTCAAACTCTTTAAGAGTTCGAATGACAGGCCATCGTTTTGATGTGGTACATGAAGACAAAAGAAAACCAATCTATAATCATGCCGCTCACCACAACCAAAATTTTGAAGGCTGCTATACCCTTAAAGCCCTTCACAAAGTAAACCCACATCAAAACCCTAAATGCAACCAACTAATCTTAACGCACGATAACTTGAGTAATTTTTGTCCGATTTTGATGAAATTTGGTTTGAAGGTTTAAGGCGGGATAAACTTAATTAAGTTCGCGAACCAGCATAATCGGACCATGGGAACAGGGTTCAACGGGGGGTTTTATGGGGTAAAAATGGGTTTTTCTTATTTTTTACCCTTAAAACAAAAAAATTATCAATTTTTCTCCAGACCTTTTTAAAGAGCTTAAAAAAAACAAATAATTTAGTATATCAAAGTGTTTTTGTCCGATAATTGGTTACGGAGAAAATTCAAAAAATTGTTAATTTAAAATTCCCATGTTATTCTTATGGAGAATATTATAATATGTTGTAGTTGGCTTGTTTATGGATAAATTTTAATCAAACTTGGCGTTTTTGTTTATTTCATACTAAGCTATTGATATTTTAATAAAAAACACACTCTATTAGTTTCCGTGTAGCAGCTAACCTAGGTACTCGTTAAATATAAATGTAAATTTAATAGATTAATAAATGGTATCAGCATTCTGACACATACTTTCTCCCATAAGTTTGTCAACAACATTTATCATGTGTAAGCGGTGAGAGTAAATATACGGAAATGGGATTTGTACAGTTTTGTTCAGAACATAAAGGAATATAACATAGGTACTAAATTTTTATCAAAATCGTTCAGGCCATTTTTGAGAAAATTCGATTTTGCCGGTTTGTTATGGGTTTTTATGGGAAAATCCCCATTAAAAATCAAAATTTCAAAAAAATGAAAAAAATGCCTGGAGATACCATGGATTAAAACCTACATACCAAATTTCATCGAAATCGGACCACAGGTGTAGTCTCTAGCTCTGTACACATCCAGACACACAGACATCACTTCGAAAACCACTTTTTTGGGTCCAAGGGGACCCAAAACGAATATATCCACTCAAAACTCAAACTCGAAAATTTTGACGAAAACAATACTTTCTCCATATACTATAGTATAGGGGGAGAAAGTAATAATTAAAAATCAATCCAGGCAAATGGAAATTCGCTAAGTCGGCAGGTTTGCTGCAGCGGGGGTATTTCTCAACCATGTACCAAAATGAAATCCTGTTGTTTTATCAATAATTCACATTCAATTTCAACATTTAACAAAACTAATTGATTGTTTAACATAGGTGAGAGTTGAAGCAAATGACATCGTAACACAAAACAAAAATGAGGTTGAACATCGTTTTGAGGTAAGAAAAATATCATTAAAAGCCTAGTTTTTACATTATACTGATTTTACATATTTTTGAAACAGTGAATAAACTAAAATAAATCTTTAAATGAAATAAAAGAGTGCATACATATTTCCATAGATGCAGTTTTTATCCATAACAGTAGCAATCATTTAGCAAAAGAAAATATCTTATGTTAAATATAATTATTCGTTATGCTTAAAATCCAAAACAATGTATAGCCTACCTACTATTACTACTTCATAGACCAAGACCACTGTATTACACAAATCTTTATATACTTTGTAAAATTCCAATTGAAGCATTTTTAACTTGAAATAAGATAATCGGATGTGAGCTTAAGTAATTTTTAAAATTAAAAATACCTAAATGTCAATTGTTCATATGTAGTCTTGAGCGGCCGGTGTCATCACTGGATTCTGGTCTTCTGGTGAGAGCTGCGTCATGTCGATATTCACACTAGTACCAGACGTTTCGCCCATTCTATGATGACGCTTCCTCAGTGACAAAGCTGAGACTCTGGTTTTGTACAAAGTGTAAATATGGCTCTCACTGGAAGACAGAGAATTCAGTAAATCTTCATTGGTTTAGACAGTAACATTTTATTTTTAAACTAGGTGAAGTTGGCAGATATTGAGTTCCGCAAGAAGCAGCTGGAGCAGCAAAAGAAAGATATGGAGGTAGAAGTTGAGGCCTTAAAGACTTTCCGAGCAAGAATTGAGGATGCCCAAAGAGCTCTTGAACAAAATGCTTACAACATTTGTAACAAATGCATTGCTTTACGGTAACTTCAAAAAAATCTTCTATATTATTTTATATGATTTTACAAGGGTGGATTTTAAGTAACGGTTTTGTGTATAAATCCATAGTTTGCTTGTATGCCACAACAAGATTCCTCACCACTTACTGAATATCCATTTCTGGACAGAATGACACAAATTGCAGCTCTGTTGCTGTGTATTTTTAAAATCTTAAAAACCATTGAATCTCCTGCCTCGTCTGAGCTAAGGTCAGTGGTATATCGTTTGATTACAAGAAACATATCCAATGCTGACATTCATCACCAACCAGGTGACTGAAGGTTAATGGCACCAATGCAGCGAGTGAGGGTAAAGTGGGGAAATTGGTTATGTAGTGCAAAAATTACCATGAAATTCTTTTTCCCTAGTGGTCTTCTGTGAGAAGTCTGGGTACCCACCAAAAACACAATTCTATCCTAAATGAACATTTCACGGTCATTTTTAGCTCCCTAGTCTATTTCTGCAATTGCTACGCTATCATTGCATCAGGGTCAACTTTATGGGGTATAAGTCATCTAACAATGAATGTCGGTATCGGATATGTTTCTTGTAATCAAATAACGTATCGCTCACCTTACCTCGGACACGGCGATATATTCTATAGTTTAAAAATTTGTTTAAACACACGGCAAAGTACATGACAGTTACAGAGCTGCAATTTGTGTCATTCTGTCCACAAATTATGCCAGTAAGTGGTGAGGAGCCTCAAAAAAAATTGTAGTTGAGTCCTCTGCAGTCGTGGTGAAGGTTAAATCGTGGGCATCTTCTGTGATCGTAAAGGAATCGTGAATGTATTCTACGTTCACGGTGAAAGAACATCTTGCGCCATGGCGAGGACATTACTGTCTATTACGATCGTGGCAAAATCCTGAACAACTTCCTCCTTTGCGAGGACATCATCTTTGTCTCCCAATATCGCGGCAAAATCATGAACATCTCTGTAGTCTCGGAGCAATCATAAACATCTTTTGCGGTTGCGAGACCTGATTATTGTCACCCACAATCGCAGGGAGTCGTGATTTTTGATCGCACAATCTTTGCAGACCTAAGTGAGGCCCCTTCCTAAGCCGAGGCCTTTGGCAATCGTCGTGTCCACCGTTAGGGGGCCCAATTTGGGGGCCTATATATTGGTGTGGGGCCTGGGGCGGACTGCCCCCCTGCCCCTCTCGGTACGCCACTGAACAAATGAGATTATGGCTAAGATCAAATGATTTTTTAGCCAGAACCAATGATAAAGGACATCTGAGTCTAGTCTTGAACCATCAGAAAACAAATCAAATCAAATCAAAAATAACTTTATTCAACTTGAAATATACAGGAAAAATACATAATTGTTGTTAAAGAATAGTATTCCCCCGAATGGACTACATGTCTGGGCTCGAGGGAAGAGTTCTTAACAGCAGGAAACATGTATTGTCCATTGTCCATAGGTCAATCACAGGTACACAGTTTATAAATATTGTTTACATCTAACTCTTAAATATCACTCTTGGATATCAGGAGCTCTTAAAAAAATATGTATACTAGAATATTATTTTACGAATAAACAACCTTAAGAACAACAATAAAACTATATGTATATCATTCTATATATGAAAGAAAAATGTAAGTTGATAGCTATTATGGCAGGGAATTTATAAATCATAAATCATAAATCATAAATCTTTATTGGTCATTAAATAACATATGTTACAATAGACCTCGTTAACAAAAAAAGGGCCATAGATTCTAGATAGTATAACATGGTCTATAACATGGAATCTTCACTAAACTTAAATATAACAAAGTATATGTAAGATGAACGAATTATAGCCCACTAGTACTGACTTATAAGTTACTATATACGTTACTATTATAAGCTACTGACTTTTCTCAGGAACGAACCAGCAACCGTCTGATTAGTAAGCGAGCACTATTATAAAAGTATTCTGTGATTGTGCAAATTTATAGATTTTACAATCTGGTGAAATTCAATATCAAGCAGATAAGTAGACTGTGAAGCCCCCTCCCGGCAACCACCGTGTCTGCCATTCCTAAGCTAAATATGGTTACAGTGAAGGCAGGCTAGGGATTGACCTATGTCATGATGACGTGGAGCAGGAGCTTCTCAAGGAGCGAGATGTAATTCAAGGTACTCAGAGTTTACTGGTCCGCACTCTGGAGCAGGTCAATGAACAGCTGCGACGTCTCAGAGCACTCATCTACACTCTCAGCAAGGTGAGCAGTGTTTCTATATGCAAGATTAAAATGTAGGATATGGGATAAAACAAGATTTTTGGCTCTGACGCCTAGTTTTCTTTCAGCGAATTTCCCATATAGGGAATGAGCTATTACCGTAGGTCTCATTGTAAGACCTAGACCCGGGACCGATTTACTTTTTTGTTTTGAGGTCCCCAGAGGCCAAAAAAACCCTCCATTCAAATTTATACAGGGTGTCCCACGAGATGTGTCTCAAATTGATTACGGAAAAACGGCTTAACGTACAAGGATGAAATAAAATTATTTCCCTCTAAATCGACCCCAAGGAATAACATAAAAATATTTTTAACTTTTTCCCAATACAGAGTGTGCCAAAAACTGAGGGTCACTATTTCGAATCGCGGAATTTTCAAATGTAAACATATGTCATGTCATACACCATTTCAAAGGTACTAGTGCACCTGTTGCTCAAATTCGAGCAATTGCAAAGTATTACAGGTGTTATTTCAAAACTAATAACAGTCATAAATTCCGATTACTTAAAAGATTTAACTCAAAGATAGTGTAATCAATCACTCCACTCCAGTTATTGAAACGAACTCACTCTGAAAACGAACTCTCGTGAGTGTTATCATGTGTTAACTATGAACAGCTGTAATTAATACAAATTATTCGTCTGAATAAGTAAACAAATTCTTTTCTTCATAAGAAATACATTGGGGTATTGATGACCTCTGGGGCAAAGCCCGAGGACTTTTATTACTGGAATTGGTGAAAGGGGGCATCTACACAAAAAATACTTAATTTTGACACATCGTTAGTAAAAATCCGACCATTATTAACAGAGGATTAGTGTTTCGTAGAAATCGACTTCACGTATTGTATATAAGGATTTGATAGACAAAAATTTTGGCAAAAACAGAAATTAATGATCTTTTTCCCTTTCAAAATAGCGACAGTTTTTTGTTGTTTTAAATATATTTTTAATACTCTGCGTTTCCATACCAATGCATTTATCCCTTCTCCGGTTGAATTTTCTTACTCGTTATGAAATTAGCTTTACTTTTATATGCTACAAGTAACGGTTTTTTGAAATGATAAAAATTCCAAAAAAATATATTTTTGAAAATTTGCAAATGCTCATTGTTCAAAATTTTCAAATAGCAACATATGTCAAGTAGCACATCATTTTATAGGTTTTTTAATTCCTAACAACTTTGTAATTAACACTTACTTCGTACCTCTTTTAGCTTTTGCGTAACAAAAATCCTAATTTTCCTATATTAAATGCATGTTATTTGGGTTCAACACTACAGGCCCCATTCCATTAGGTGTTAAACCACGTCAAACCCAAATAAATGCATTTGATATATATATGCCTTATTCTACCCCATTTTACAACTAAAAACCGTAATACATTAGACTCCCTCTTATCCGGACACCTTTTAACCAGACATCGGTTTGACTGGACTACACTCGGTAGAAGTGACATCTTTTTATCCGGATAATTTATATCAGCACATCGGTTTAACCGGACTAGATTGATGGTAGGAAGTGGGCAGTACTGAAACGACTGTTCTCGTGGGAAATATTTGAGACCAGTGATTACGTGTCTAAATACAATGCTCTAGTAAGTAAAATACTTCCCTGTGACGAAAATAAGATTACATCAATGACCCACGTTATAAAACGTTAATTTTGTCACCTTAGTTCGTTGTCAGTAAAGAGGCCTAACGAAATTAAACGATGACAACATATAACATATTATTAATAACATTAATGTTATTACTTGTTAAATACAATTTAATGATTGATAATTCATTTAAATTAGAACTCAAATTTTTAGGCCCCACTCGTCTCATGGGCTTCTCTGCTCGCCGTTTCCCACTCACCGGTTTGCGGGCCCCTCAGCTCCCCAGGCCCCCCCGCATTGCGGGCCCTTCTGTTACGCCGCTGAGAATAGCCTATTTCCTACAGCTAGGTGCGTTTTGGATGGTGTAAAGTTGAAACACATGATCTATTACTTTTACTTGTTTATACAGGACTTGGACAGCAAGGCAGAAGTGATGGCAATTGATAAACATAATCGAGCTCTCAAGGAAACTAGTCTTAACTTGTCAATCTATAACGGCAACACTCCCCTTGATCCTGGGTAAACTAATACTTAGATTCCTTATACACATTTCCTTATTAGCCTGATTAATCTTGTAGTGTGACTGTAATTTATCAAACAATCTTAGCACTGTACAATATGTTGTATTTTCTGTAATCTATTTAGGCCTACCAAACGTAGATCAACGTTCTTTTTGTAATGTTAAAAACTTAGGTGTCAAATTGTTTTTAAACCAATTGTGAAGCACTATTTCTTAGAATCAAATAAATACCTTGCTATGATCATTTGAGAGGTTACAACTAGAAGGATGGGAGCAGGAAATATTAGTCTATGCCAGTGGCGTAACAAATTTTTACGGCCCCCCTGCAAATTAATTTTGTGGGCCCCCCCTCTCATGAGTTATTTTATCACCACCGATACAACATAATCAAACGCCCTCCCCCTCCCCCCAGAGTTATTTTTGGACCACCGATACCATGATCAAACAGATTAATCATAAAAAGAGTGGTAAATAAATTATGAAAAAAATATTAAATTAAAAATTAAAATATTAAATTATGGGTTTATGTTCCATAAAAGATTGGTTTGATGAAAGTATTACATCACTACATCATTATATCAATATTAGTGTTTGTAAATAGTTTTGAAATCAAATAAAAAAAAACCTTTTTCCATCCGTCTATCAGAATGTTTATATATAGGAGGTTGCACCTTTTTCACCACACTATGATGTTTTAAGCTGTTTTACATTCGTTAATTGGTGGCTGAAAGTTACGTTTTGCTGGCCATGCCAGCTGTCATCGTTATTTGGGGACCGAGCAGGTTTTTACATCCCTAGGGCCGCAAAATCAGCTGCCCGCTTTCTTTCTCAAAACATGAATGCATATATTAAATAGTCAATCAGTATCCATAGCATTGTTTTATTGTCACCGCTGCCTAGCAACTATTTGTTATTATTTTTGCTGATTCCTCAAATTATTTCTTCACATAACCTTAAAAGTAGAGATGGGAATTATCGTTGTTTTCCGGCAACGGTTATAACGATAACGCAGCTGCCCAATAACGTGTTGCGGCAACCTGTTATTTCAATAACGATTGCCAAATGCCAACTCGTTGCCGCTGTGTAAACCGTTGTCCGCCGGTCGGTGTTGCGGCGTTCAGTTATCGTTGTCGGTTGATCAGTTCAGTTTCCAGTTGTAGTCGCGAGTCTGACGTTGCCGCGTTGTCCAGACAGGATGCGTTATTCTAATTCTAGTTCGTTTCAGAAGTTATCGTTGCTCTAATGCTCTGGTAGCGTTGCGGCAACGGCAATGCATGTTTTCGTTTTCGTTGTCCGCGCGGCTTTCCTGCAACATTGCGTTGGTAGATACGTTATTATAATAACAGGGAGTTCTCGGCAACGTGTTGCCGCGATAACGTTGCCGTGGCCGCAACACTGTTATTCATCCTGTTATGTTAAATAACGCCCATCTCTACTTAAAAGTTGTAGTAGTTGTGTTCACAGCTCTCGATTGTTTTATGTTCTCGACTTCGTCTCGAACTTAAAAACTATCTCGAGCTGGCAAAACCTAATTTTCGGTCTTAGGTACGAAATATACTATTACATTTAGTTTATCACACATATTATCAATTTTTATTACCCTGATAATTAGACTAATTCATTAATTACAAGGCAAAAATGTGGTTCGAATTCCCCTAATAACCCCCTTAGGCCCTTATTATGTTGCAAGCGTTTATCTTACAACAAATGTCTTAAGTGTTGGTTAATTGTGATGTAAAATAAGATATGGGCTAACAAACACAGTCAGTAGAGAAGCAGTATATTGTATTTAACAAAATACAATCAATATTAGGACAAAACTAAAATGTAAAATAATACAATATTAAAACCCCCTGCCAACGCTCATGACTCCAGGCTCCAAAGTAACAAAATGTTTGCAGACGACATAAGCAGTGTACGAAATCATCGAGAAGTAAAATATTTCTCGGTGACGAAAGTAAGATTGTTGCATAATAATCAAAGACCCACGTTATATAACGTTAAATTTGTTACCCTAGTTCATTATCACTGAAGGGGCCTAACAAAATTAAACAATAACTGATAACAACATATTATTAATAACGTCAATGTTATTACTTGTTCAATACAATTATTGAATGATTGATAATACATTTAAATAAGAATGAACTCCAATTTTTCGGCCCCACTCGTCCCACAGGCCTCTCTGCTCACCGGTTTACGGGCCCCCTCAGCTCCTGGGCCCCCCGCATTGCGGGCCCTGTGGGCCCTTCTGTTACGCCACTGAGTCTATGCATAACTCTTTAGTCTTTACTAGCCATATTAAGTGTCTGTTTGGTATTAAATGTGGTTCATTTTTTTAACAATATTTTTGAACAATACTATTTTTTTAACTGGTGACATAACTTGTATGTGTTGACAGTAATGTAACTGATGAGGAATGGGCAATGTACACTCAACAGACGATTGACAGAGCTGCTAAGGAACTGGTGTCGGGGCGGCCTTTACGTTCATACATTAACCAGTTGCTCAAACAGGTTTGTAGTATCAAGTACCAGTAACAAATTAAACCACAACATTTTAAATACCTGTAACAACCATGGTCTGATAAAAAATAAGAATAGAATAAGAATATTTTATTTTCTCCAGAAATTTAACAATATTTACAATAGTCATTGACAGTACATCAACAAAAAATATATCTATTTCCATTTTTAAACAAAAACCCCCGCTGCAGCAAACCTGCTGACTAAGCGAATTTCCTTTTGCCTGGATTAATTTTCAATTAATCTTTTAAATTAACATTTTATGTTTAACGAGTACCTAGGTTAAAACAATAATAGGTTTTTTACATACCTCAGTCAAATAGTCCAAAAATGATATTGCTCAACAGCTTACATGTTTTGTTGCGAAGACAACATTTTCAAAGCTTGCAACTCGTCAAAAACACATTTAAAACACGGACACGAACACAGAAAACATTAATACGGTACGAATACACACGATAGACATTTAGATAGCGCTATCATAATACTGATTTGGTCCGGCGCGGCGCGGGGCTGGTAGCAGAAAACCATGAATTTTGATACCTAGGTTAGCTGCTACAGGGAAACAGTGGCGTAACTACAGGGGGGGGGATGAGGGGGATAGAACCCCCCCAAAGGCAAAAAAAAAACTGAATAACCTACTCCATAATGAACATTGTTCACAGAGGGTGGATCAGGAATTGTTGCGGGTAGTTTCATAATCTTTGCGAATAAAATCGGGGATTTCCAGTGGCAATTACGTGGAAAGTCATAATATTAGGTTCGCAACACTGCCGCTCATGCGCTGTAAGTTCCCGCTCAGTCTGTTCTGGGTCTGGCGCGTTTCCCTGTGCTTGCCGCCTGTCCTGTGTTCTATGTGTTACTTGTTATTCAGTGATGATGTGTTCACAAATGTCTAAGAGGAAAGCATCAGCATAGCAAAGCTTAATAACAGATTTGTTTAGAAAGCGTATGGTAACTAAAACTGAGCATACTGAAAGTGATGACAGTTCCTGATAACAAACAATAACATTCTGCCTTGCTTACTTTGCGACGACGTGTGGTGTAGGGGCGGGTGGGGGAGGGGTATTTGGTGCCTGGGGAGGGTCACTATTTCCACCCGATAATTTTACCTACAGTCAGGGGCATCGCACGAAAAAATATTTGTAGGGAGACACTGAATTTCCCAACTATTTTACTCGAACTAACCCAACTATATTAGGCTACACGAATTTCACAACTATATTAATATCAAGTTTTAACAGTAGCCTAAGGATATTATTTTACGTTTAAATCCTCTTTACAGCTGACATACACAAAATAACAAGAAATTAAGGGCTTTCTCACAATATTGGTTTTGACTGTCAATCTTCATTGTTGATTGTGTCTTAAGTGTCTCAACAAATGTCTCAACACACTGTAGGTCTACTGATCAATATAATACAGTACATTAAGTTTTCAGCCTGTCAAAATCTATTTGAAATAAAAATTCAGTAGGTACGGCTCTTCACGCGCAGAACAGAAGGCTACAGTACAACAACAACTTAATGATAATTTGTTCGTTTGTTGTGTTGTGGTTTTGATTTATTAGTTACTTACTATTTCCTGATACTGACCGGCCAAAGACAGCCTCAACTAGGTAGAATTTGGAGTTCTTTTGAACGTTCTTTACACCTCTGGAATGCCTGAAAAAGCAAGTTTGGAGTTCGAATTTTTCAAAATTTTCCCGAACCCCCCTTTTGCTCCTCCATCCCCCCCCCCCCAAAAGCCATGTTCTAGTTACGCCACTGCAGGGAAACCAATAAAGTGTACTTTTTATTAAAATATCAATAGCTTATAATGAAATAAATAAATCCGCCAAGTTTGTTCAAAATATATCCATAAACAAGCCAACTACAACATTTTGAAGCTAATGAACAATTTTTTTTTTAATTTAATCCGTAACCAATCACCGTAGAAAAACACTTTGATATACCTACTAAATTTTTTGTTTTTTTAAGCTCTTTGAAATTGGAAAGTTTTATGTTTCAATGGTAAAAAATGATAAAAACCTATTTTTACCCTATAAAACCCCGTTCCCATGGTCCAATCATTATCATCATGTACCATGGTGGTTATTTTTGTCCGATCATGCTGGTTTGCGAACTCATTCAAGTTTATCCCGCCTTACACCTTCAAACCAAATTTTATCAAAATCGGACAAAAATTACTCAAGTTATCGTCCGGACGGACACATATATCGGTCTATATATAGATATTAGGGAATTTCCCATATAGGGAATAAGCTATTACTCATGGTAAGACCTGGACCCGGGACCGATTTAATTTTTCGTTTTGAGGTCCCTAGAGGCCAAAAACACCATCCGTACAAATTCATATATATATATATATATATGTGTGTGTGTGTCCGTTAGTGTGTGTTCGGCTTATATTTCTCCAACAGTTATTCATCTGCAGAAGAAGTTCAGTGTGCTCTTATCGTGTCTTATAACATCCAAACACAAAAACGTTGCCTAAAATGGTACTTATCTTGGCAAATTATTTGCAGTGGCCTATATTACGGACCGTGGCCCACTGGGTTGGTAACATTATTGAAAGTAACTCGATATTTTTGTCTGTAAGAGTAAATACTATTTAAGCAGCTACTGTCATGACAGAAAGGTCATATTCCTTTTAAACTAGATCACATCATCCTTTATAAGATACGTTGATTAACAATGCATGTAAACGTCAATATTTACGTAACAGCCAATTTACAGCATGTTTTTCTCTTTGGAAATGTCACATAGCTATTTCATTTGCATTATTTGTTGCCAATGAAGCCACACGACCATATAAACGAGGAGGCCCCTAACCGTCAATCTCGACGGGTTTCGCCTAGTTCTCTATAAGAATAACAAACAAAAATTTACAATTTTTTAAATTTTCTCCATAACCAATAACCGTACAAAAACACTTCACTATACTAAATTGGGGGAGCGAGCTGGTCTAGTGGTTAGAGAGCGGGTCTTCGGTGCCTGAGGTCCTGGGTTCAAATCCTGCCAAACACCAATGGATTTTATCTAAGTGATAATACCGCAACCCCTAGTTAGCCTGAAGTAATGTGAAAAACAATCACGGGCTCGTGCCTATCGTCCTAGGACAAAAAAAAAAATATATATATATATATATACGGTACTAAATTATTTATTTTTTTATGGCCTTCAAAATGTTGGGAAATTTTATGTTTTGAGGATCAAAAACGAGAAAAACCAATAATTTGGTAAATAAATTTTTTGTAAAATTTAAGCCCAGTTGGTTCAGTAGTGTTTGCGCATATTAGTAATAGATATACAGACAGACAACATTATATATAATAAGTTTAGAAGTATAGATAGTAGGATATCTTGCATATAGGATTACCCAGTTATAGACAAAATGTAGGCTTTATCTATTTTTATATAGGTAATAGAGGACTTGTGGAAGCAGTATTATGCGGTAAATGAGGCTTTCAGACGACGCATTGAGGAGTATAAAGAAGCTAAAACAAAATTTGAAAACCAGCACTTTGAAGTAAGTAGTGTTTAAGATCATTATTGTTACTCCAACACAAATTATTTAGCACTAGAGGTCGTCCAGTGGTCGAAAACTCAACCATAAATATGTACAGTTGGATTTTTTAGCTAGAAGTGGTTGAGGTGTGGTGGAATACCTTTGCGGATGAACATTTTTAGCTATAGTAGTGAGTGTGATCCATAGTAGTACGGTAATATAGATAGTACTTGTGGCTTGCAGGGGCAATAGCCCCTATATTCTAGTAATTATTTTGTACTAATTATTAGTCTCATGGGTTTACCTTACCTTAAATTATCATTTAACATTTACGTTTGTATATTATGATATGTATAATAGTTATTACTACCTGCATAATGCATTTTGATGTCTGATCTGTTTAAAATAAAAATTCCAAAGGACATGCGGTGTGTTTATAATGTAAAATTTCTAATCGCCATACAACTAAGAAACATTTTCCAATAACAACCTTCATGACTATTAATTAAATCTATATAGATTTCTTTAAATATAGACAAATTCACTTAGAAAAACACATAGAGATATGTCGTCATCCAAATTGTAAAATGCTAATTCTATAACAAAATCTCTCTGAAACAACGTTTTGTTGTATAGTATCTATTTTGGTCGATTCCTTGGTCTTTATTTGGTTCTAGTACTACTACTACTTTAACATCATCTGGCCTCTATACCCATCTAAAAGCAACATAAAGTTGACCATGGGTAAAAACTGGGTTTTTCAAATAAATGCCAACTTTTGTGAAGGTTCGGCCATAGATGAAGTAATCTATATCTATTCTTATTTAATACGCAAGCAGGATTTTTGTGACAATTACTCCTCCGAAACTACTGAACCGATTGACATGTTTTTGGTGTCATTGGAAAGAGCGTAACGTGAAGTTGTGCAGGAAACTTTCTTTTTAGGAAAATAATTAGAGAGTAAGGCACTGGGACCCTTTAAAGTTTCACATTTCTCCATAAGATTAACATGGAAAACAAAAATTGTTTTGAAACTCCAGCTGTTGTTAGAAATGGATAATTGGTCTCAAAGGAAGCATGAGAAAATTCACAATGTTTACGTTTGCTTTGACATTTAAATGTAAACAACCAGACTGTCCAATACCTATTTCACAATTTCAGATAGCTGATAAAAAAAAACAACTGTGTGGTAGGTTTATTCAATCTTAAACTTTATGATAGATTATTATTTTATTATAAATCTATTTCAACGATTATGAAACAGATTTTTCCCGTTGCGAAGCAAAAATTAAAAGTGAAAAAAGTACATATGTTAATTGTAAACAGAATGTGTAAATTATCTATGTTGTATTAAAAATGTGTATAGTTTTGGATGTTGGTTTGGGTTTAATGATATAAGTTATTAATTATTGAATTTTTATTTCAAGGATTTGGCATATGAGTATGCCTATGATAAATAGTTGTATTAATAGTCAAAGCTATAACTCTGTTCTGTAGAGTTTAAAGTAGCCTACACCTGTCTACAAATTGGGTAGATAACTTAAGTACGGTACATTATAAAAGCTGACAGCCTTTTTACAATGACTTAAATTGTAAGCTTACCTTTTCCCGTCCATGTGCAGTTTGATAGTTAAAAATTAACCCTTTAAACTGGAGTAGGACTGTTATGTAAATTGTCAGTAAGTTATTTTGGTTAGTTAATAATATTTTAGTCGACTCTTTCAAAATCATCGGAAATTATGACTGTTATTAGTTTTTAAACAAGTCATTTGTTTATAAACAACTCCTGTACTTCTTTGCAATTGATCGATTTCGAGCAACATGTACACTAGTATAATTATATTACTTCATCTATGGGTCGGCCTTGCGCCACAATTTCAAATCAAATTGCGCAATAATGCACCACAATGAATGCACCATTGATGCACAATGATGGTTCATTGATCCTACGCTGTGTAATGCAATCTTATTTAGAAGTGATAATCTATACACAGAAATAAATTGTTCATTCAATGTTCATCCGATGCGCATTTCTTCTTCTTCCATTAATATCATGCCAAATCTGGTGCCTGTTTCGAGGAACAATACCTTTGCCTGGTAGTCTTCCGACATTATACATTATTGCTGTGCAAAAGAACGATCTATTGTAAGGTATTAGGTATTAAGTTTAAAAGTATCAAATTGTTTGTTCAAAAGATTTTATCTAATTTTCACTTTGTGTTGTTTACTACTTCACTAACAACGAGGTGTTAGCCCGTCCTACGTACTAACATTTTTAACACTTAATGTTTACATTGAGTGGTCATTTAAAACTGTGTACAATTCAGAACAACTAATTTACACGTATAAAGACAAATTTTCTTGCAGTTTTAATGTGAAAAATCATCTTGTAAGCAAATGTTGCGTGACCAAATATGTTTTTATCCCATAATAGGCCTATACGATATGCATTTTAAATCCGATAATTTTCCAAAAAAAAAAACAGCAATTGTGACGATGTGAAAAGCGTTAAAGTGAGATTTGCGCCCGATTTGCACATAAGCACACTGATTATAAGTAGCCTACAATAGAGAAAGTCAATTGAAAGGTGTATAGACCTAGTCAACGATACCACCTCTTCCATTGCATATACCTGCCTCTTCCATAATCATTATCACCACAACACAATTACTCATTCTACTCTCATAATTACTCGTATACACAGTTTCCAGTAGGTCTGAATAGAAACTACCTAAAATAAAACGAGAATATCCAATAACATTCACAGTACACATAATTTAACTTTGGTGTCCTAAACATCATTAAACGAATCGTCCACACTTATCCTTTATATCAATTTTGCTAAAAAGTAAAAACAATAACATATAGTTTGTTTTAAATAGCTGTTTGATTCAAATAACATTTTGAAAAAAAAACTGGTCACATGTTGAAGGAGTTAAAAGGTAAACACCATAGTAAAGCTAGTGACATAATTGGCTGTGTTAATTATCCATGCCGTTATCAGTTCTAATATCCTTGATATTAGCCACCCTCTTAGTCCCTCTTGCCTATACCCTCTTACTTATACCCCCCCTCATTGAATTGAACTACACCCTCGTGCCTGCACCCAGGCTAACGACTTGGAAGCGTGACTCCATGTCCAGGCCCGAGGAGCGGATCACAAAACTTTACCAACAAGAGGAAAAACCGTGGAGGAAGGTTCAAGAACAACACGCCATTTGAGAGAAACGAGCTGTAATAAAACAATTTAAAACAACAACAACAACAATAATACATGAAACTCTCAAATAAACTTTAAATAATTTAGCTACCCGTCTAGCCTACTAACTTACAAGCATTTCTTTAATTTTAATCAAATAGGCTAATATCACTAAAAGGAATTTATTAAGTTTTAACCATTCAGAAATTTTCTAAATAACAACATTGCAACAATAAATAAATATATATTTCAAAAAAGGAATTTGAATTGTTAACTAGAAATTTTAGGGGCCCCAAAAAGCATGGATTTGAAAAGATAAAATTTTAAAATGTCAACAAGTAGGCTAGTTTAAATAAAATAAAAAAAAAACAAAACAATAACAATGAATAAACTATATGTAGGCCTATAACAATGATAACTTTAAATAGTCTCTTCCACTTTTAAATCAATTAAACTGTAAATATATATATCAGCAAATAGTCAGATAACTTGCGTTAGGCGGTAACATGGTTCTGGGCGAGCAGCACCGGAGGGGGAAACAAGCAGGACGGAGAGGGAGGCCATAATCCATGAGGCAGTCAGGCGATGCAAACTTCCTCTCCGCCTAAATAGCTCGGGTCTACTTCATTGTCCTCCTCACGGGCCCCATCAAGGTGCCAGCGGCAACCTAGCTTTACTCCATATTTGAGAAAAACTTCACGTTGATGAATTTAGGCAAAAGAAACATAGAAAACAAGCCAAAAATAAGAGATCAGAACGTATGAATTTTTCGATGAACCGGAGCCAAAAGTAGCCACTCAACCTATATATCGTCGGCGGTGGGAGTAAGAAGAACATGACATACAGGCTCATTTGAGGGTCGTTGGAACATTAAAAGTTGAAACACAAACTAATCTACTATACAAAAAACAATTTGACCGTTGATTATGAGTCGTGACATTCGCCAGTGGAAAGTAGTCACGGCTCAACTTCCCCCCCCCCCCAAAAGAGGACACTCCTCTCCAAAGGGACAATCAAACAAGCCTCTCCCCCACTTCCTGAAGAGAAATTGACACGAAAGACAACTCAGGTGTCTGGGGTGGGGAACGCCAAGGGACTTCCAAACTGAGGGGAAAACTCACCCCCAGGGTTTGATCTGGACAGAACTGGAAAATTTTCTGAGGGAAATTCCTTCGCAGAACACAGGGGACAGGGGATCAGGTTCTCTGGCCCAGTGCACTTCCCACCCAGACACAAGAGAGAGGAAAATTGCCTACGGAAGAGTTCCGCGGAAGGGCTTGAGATGTGAAATGTGTGCCCTCCGGAAAACTTTTGCAGTCCGTGGATCTGCTAGCTCCGCCGTGACAGGCGTCAAAAACCTCAGGATGCAGTGGGGACCTGACCACCGATGACACAACTTTGCAGCTCTCTTGTCCACAGCCGAACTGGCAGGATGAGCTTTACAAAACACCAAATCCCCCACCTGGAAAGGGTTGTCTATTCTACCATGATTGTGCTTCCTACGGACCAATTCCCTAGCTCTGATCAAATTTCTCCTGGCCGCTTGCCAAGTTGCCTTGACATCAGCCGCACCAGGAGGTGGCAGAAGGTCGCCAATTCTCCACACATTCCCTAACGGGTTGTTAGGCAGATAGTCTAGAAACAGCTCAAAAGGGACCGCCTTGTGACTCTCATGGTGAGTAGTATTGAAAGCAAACTGAAGCCAGGGGAGTTCCTGATCCCAGGTGGTCTGCTTAAAGAAAAATGAAAATCCTTCTTTATTGAGGCGAACTTAGGACCTCATGGTCCTTTCTTACAGTTAACCTCTAAAAAACTAATGATA